AACATGTGCGTATGTGCTTTATGCGCCGCGACAGCTGGTGAGAGCTGACGCAGGTTGCTTCCGGAAGAGATTTTTTGTACCTGCTTGTGGAGATCATTGTTGATCGACTTCTGGCAAGAATAGCAGTAGAATAAGATCTAATAGGAAGTGGTGAGACTGTTCATCCGCAGGTAGAAGCCCAGCATCACTGGCACCTGTTCCTATTGTAGGCAATCCATAGCCGACGTAGATTCGAGCTCAGTATACTCCAGAGGTGGCTAGAGCGTTGGGGCTCTCATTACAGCTACGGAGTTGATTATCTGACAGTCGATCAACACATGTGCTTTATGAACTAGTCACAGATCTGGATCTACCTTCAATACTTATCCATCTCTGTAAGTACTCGAACCGTACTCCCGTCCGTGTTCGATATCACGAATGTCCGACTTCACTGTCCGACATGTTCGACTGTTCTTTTATTTGTTAAGATCCCATTTCACCAACAGGACGCGTCCTTCGCAGTTCACAAGGACATGAAGAGCCACACTGGTGCTGTATTGACCATGGGTAAGGGCGCCATCATCGCTATCTCAACCAAGCAAAAGATCAATACCGACAGTTCGACTGTAGCAGAGTTGGTTGGAGTACACGATGCACTACCTATGATCATGTGGTCCAGATACTTCATCATTTCACAAGGATACGAAGTAGTCGACAACATCATCCACCAGGACAATCAGAGCGCCATGCTGCTGGAGAAGAATGGAAGATCATCTTGCGGCAGGAAGACAAGAGCCCTCGACGTGCGATACTTTTCTATTACTGACAAGATCAAGAGTGGATTCATGAGAGTACTTCACTGCCCGACAGCCAAAATGCTGGGAGACTTCTTCACCAAGCCTACGCAGGGAACACTGTTCCGCACATTCAGAAACCTCATTATGAACCCTTCCGACCAATACTCCTAATGCACTTGGACACAGGAGTGCGTTGGAGCAAAGCTGATTTGCCATTAGTGACTCACCAGTCACGAACGCCAATCACGTTTATTACAATTACATGTCCCACGGCATATTGGTTGGAATGTATTGGTCGGAGTATGACTGGTACTCGTGGACGTATTAGCTTACGACAACGAGAATCTTTAGAACAAGTAGAAAGCGAATGTTCAGAATACAGTGCAATTGCAAAGCGTTTTGCAATCCTCATTGTTTTCTGAAAATTCTAAAAGACTAAAGTGATTTACAGCACACCTGCGGTGCGGATCTATCTGTTCTATTAGTTAGACGGGACAGTCACTTCATCGGTGCTGTCGATCGGCATTTCTGGCGTTGCCTCAACGTGGATAACGCAGAAAGAAAAGCAAAAAAGCTAGCGAATTTATCAAAGCAGAGCTATTTGCTCCTGAAGACGACACTATGGAAAGGAGGGGAACAATGGCAATTGCGGACAAGGTTGCGAGCGGCATTTGATAAGAAAGACAATGACAAATCAGGATTTCTCGATCACGAAGAAATCAAGAATACCTTGTTGCTACTTGGATCATTATGGGTCAAGAGTCTCTGGACAAATTATTCAAGGTGATCGATACAAATAGAGATGAGAAGATCTTTCGAGGAGTTTTTTGCTTTTTCGAAAAGGCTCACGAAGTCGGGCATCGACGATTAAAGCATTCACACTGATAATAATTGGTAGAGCGAAGCCAGGTACTAAAATGGAAGGCATAAACCTGGGAAAATTACTAGAAATATTTTAAGGCTACGTCGGCTACTGTTCGATTGAATAATGACTCAGAGGCTGTGGAAGTGATGTTCAATCTAGTTGTCGAACTGATCGAAACCAGTCTCCAAGCCCAACCTACCTGGTACCACAGGCGCATTTATGATCTCGTCTGTTCTCGCTGTGTATCTGGACAAAACAGAAACTGAAATTAAATCATTGTTTAATCAAAATACAATGTTCGTGCGCTTCCAGTTGTCGATGACCAAAATGACGTCATTTAACTTGTGACCTGCAAGAAAGTGGCAGCTGCAATGACACATGTGGAACAAGGAACAAAAGCGTCTCCGTGCGACGCTGCTTCCGAGAAGAGACAGGTGAGCAACGAAGCCCAAAGAATTGCAGATGAACGACCGCGACAGGGCTCTGCTGTGAAGGTTTGGATGAAAAAACATGTAACAACCGTCGAAGCGAGCAGGACGATGGCTGAAATAGCGAATTCTCTTGGAGAATGGAATGGTATGGGCTGTATTCCAGTCAACCAGGATGTTACCAATAAACTTGTTGGCAAGGTGACGCGAACATACCTTTTGAGACAACATCTGTACTATTTAGCACTACATTATCACAACAAAGGTTTCAGCAATCTGATCGAAAACCTCTTATAGCGCTCCAAGCGACGCCGAATATGCGCGAAATTGATAATCAATAGCATCGAATGAATTTTGAATGAGGGAGTCTATAGTACGGTACGGCAATTATGTACAGGTTTGGTTCAGTAGTTAGCACTGGGGTCACACTTGTAGTCTGTTTGCGACATGATAAGGGCAACAATAAGCCCATAAAGACCAAGGTTGGATGCGAAGACCTGAATTAGAATAGTTGCAACGAAAAGACTGTCGCCGCCTCCTTCAGCTTGGCCACCGGCATCCCCTGTGAAACCCATTTTTTTCCACGAAGCAGCCATCGCAGATTGTGCTCCAACAGCTCTGGTACCAGCATCTGCAGAAATACCGATAGCGATTCCAGACGCCAGTGATGTAAACCCGCAGCATAAACCAGACGCCAAGTGGCAAAATGCGGAGTATTGACTATATGTCACGTATCCCGTTCCAATCTCTGGAGTGGAGAATTTTCCATTCAAAATGACAGCGACAATAAGTCCATAAATGCCCAATACACCCGCCATAACCACGGGAATGATATTTTTCATCAAAAGCTCCGGTGATCTAATACCCATGGCCATGATACCTTGACCGGCTCGTGCAGTTCCATAGGCACCTCCAATATCTTATGCAAACAAGTTGCGGTGAGTTCCTAGCTCGAAAGTTCAAACAAGTGCATCACACACTCGCAGGTTGTAACTCACTGGCAAAAACGACCGCACATACGATTCCAGCGAATCCTACACCAGGTGCCCAACTCGTGCAGGCATAGCTGATGTTGTCTTCATTGTAATAGCCATCGCCACCATCTTCCAAATAACGCGACATTTCGTTTCGTGAAAATTGTTGATTGCTGCAGCTATATTTTCGACTCTAGAGACACTAAGTTCCGTCTGCTTCCGTAGACGAGGCGATAGTCAATCTCAATTTCAAACAAGAAAGTTGTTTCGTTGAAATGAATCGTCTTTGCCCACCGATTTTGAAACAAGAAATTTGAAGAAATGAATCGACGGTTTTTTGGAGGGCTGGCTGGCGAATATTCGTTATCGTGTCCGTCCGGACTCCAATGAGGCAGTGGGAATTCCCCCTTTTCATTTTATTTCGTCCCCGCGATATTTAACGCGATTTCCCACAACTAGTTGTGGGAACAGATTTTTGCCAAAAATTCCCACAACTAGTTGTAGGAATCTTAAAAAATAGTTGTGGGAAATTCCTACAACTAGTTGTGGGAATTTCCCTCAACTAGTTGTGGGAATTTCCGTTGCTCAGATGTCCGTTATTTTTGCCTTTAAATGTATCACGAAATATCACGAAAACAATTAGAGTTTTTGGGAAACATCATATGTAGTTGTCTATTTTCTAGTCAGTACATATATCAAACGTTGTTTTGTGCGTAGAACAGACAGTTTTCCGTAGAACGGACAGTTTTCCCGTAATTCCCAATAAAACAATTAGAGTTGTGGGAAACTTCCCACAACTACAATTAGAGTTGTGGGAAACTTCAAATTTGTCTCAGTACATATCCTACGTGGTTTTCTGTGTAGAAATGACAATTTTCCCACAACTGTTGAGGGAATTCCCACAACTAGTTGTGGGAAAAATTGAGCTGTGGGAAAATCTCGCAACTAGGGGAGAAATCCGGGGATTCCCACTGCCTCAATGGGGAAGCAAAATTGAGTTGTGGGAAAAATTGAGCTGTCAGATGACAGAAAGAAGAATTCGACTGTCATGTTGCCCTAGTTGGATCGGTAGAAGGAAGGACAGAAAACTAACAAAAACAAAAAAATTGACAATGAACGAATGAATTCACGAAGAACCATTTTAATGACACAACCTTGTTGAGGTAGATTTAGCACAGACAGATATCATCAATCCATAAAACGATTTGCCTTTTGGCTTTGTGACCTAATTCAGTGCTGTTAAGCCTTCTTCATGATGCACTCTCGATGTGGATTTTTTTTTTACATATTCATTGTTTGCCACACTGCAACCCTTGGGTTTGCTCCAAAAAATGTAGCTCGCAGAACTAGGATTGTATTCCGAAGCTTGTTAGCTATGATGGAAGAAACTGAGATGAGCGAATCAAAACGATTGACGAAAGCGAGGGAAATATTGCGGCAAGTTACAGAAGAGGCACCGGAACAAATGGGACTTGGCTCAGGTGTTCCTCTCCCATTTTTCAACGCTACGGAAGTTCCAGAGAACGTTTGGTCCAACGGGCTTTTGGATGGAAGTGACGCGATTGTACGGTATAAATTTCGCAAGGGAGTCAAGGTAGCCGAACCGCTTGTGAAGTATTCTCCTGAAAAGGCGGAGAAAGCTTTGCTCAACCAGCCAAACAGGTGGTAAGTTTGTTTTGATGAGAGAATGTGCAACATCGCCCCTTTGTTCGATTTTATTCAAGACGTGATCGATACTTCAGGATTGTACGTAACATTCAAATTGCGTTTCCCATTGGGTTCTGGGCCTTCTCTGTAGTCTCTGATTTCATCTTGGGAAAGACCGACCGAAGACGAGAAAGAGCACAACAGCTTCAGCGTGCAATCTCCGAGCTTGGTCCTGCTTTAATCAAGGCAGGCCAGGCTCTTGCTAGTAGGCCAGATCTGTTGCCCAAGGAATATCTCGAGGAAATGCAGCTTTTACAAGACAAGGTACCTCCATTCGATAGCGCATTAGCGTTCCAATGCGTGGAGGAGGAGTTGGGAGTTAAGTTTCTGGATGTGTTCGAACTAGTCAGCGAAGAGCCTGTTGCAGCTGCGTCTATTGGACAAGTATACAAAGCAAAGCTGAGGACAACAGGGCAAGAGGTTGCTCTTAAAATACAGCGTCCCAATTGTGAGGACATCATTGCTTTGGATCTTTACATTCTTCGGTGGTGGTCAGGGATCTACACAAACATTTTCAAAGTGTTCAAACGAGAGATCGATGTGCAATCTATCATTGATGATTTTGGCGAGCTGATTTATCGCGAAATCGACTATATTGCTGAAGCTGCTAATGCACAAAGGTTTAATGAACTCTATGCAAGCATTCCTGACGTATTTGTACCAAAGGTTTACTCGGATTTAACGACCAGAAAAGGTTTGTCCCATTATGCTTGCCCTGGTGTTTCTTCGCTCTCCTGTTCTTATCCTTGGGGTACAAGTTTTGGTGATGGAATGGGTAGACGGTGTCCGGCTCACAGATTCAGCGAGTCTAGCCAGATATGGCTTGGAAACGAGCAAACTTGTAGACACACTCGTCCAGTGCAGCCTCCAACAAATTTTGGAGAACGGATGTAAGTTGCTTGCAAAAAGGGGCATAACTATGAATGTTTTGATGGCCTTCTCATCTTGGGATTCAGTTTTCCATGCGGATGTAAGGGGGTGCTGTTTGGAATGTGTTTGTCATGGTACGGGGACACTCACGTTCTGTCTATCCTATTCTCATTTGCATATGAAACCACGCCAAATATTAGCCACATGCCGGTAAGTCCATCATTCTGTTCGTTGTACCGTTACTATTTATCCTGAAGCGACGCTCAACCTAGCCTGGAACCTCAGGCAATCTTCTTGCGTGCGCTGATGGTCGGCTATGCTACCTCGACTTTGGTATGATGTCATATGCGGACCGTCGACAGCGCAATGGTTTTCTCCTTGCGGTGGTCCATATCGTGAACAGAGATTGGTCAGCGCTGGTAAGACTTGACAAAATTTTGGATAAAGGACGGAAAATCTTATGCACATTTCGGCACTCACCCTTTGCTCCACGTGGACGCGAAGGTGAACGTGTATCAAAAGTTGGGTTTCATTCCTGAAGATATCGATGTAAAACCAATCGAGTTCGCTCTTGACAAAGCCCTTCCAGATGTGCTGAACTCTGAAATATCAGAGGTAAACTTCAAGAATATAGTGAACAAACTGGGGGATATCATGTACAAGTTTCCTTTCTGCTTACCTCCGTTCTATATCGCAATCATACGGTGTCTAGGAGTTTTGGAAGGATTGGCAATACAAGTAAGCCCGGTTCAAAACGAATTAATGAATCTCCAAAGTCCCTGTTATCTCATCTTCTCCTTTCACCAGGTTGACCCCACATCAAGAATAATAAGTGAAGCATACCCTTATGTTGCGAGTCGCGTTTTGACTGACCCTCAAGATGACTTGCAAGAGGCATTACGACGTCTGGCGCTCACTCCTGATGGAAAGATACGGTGGAATCGGCTTGAGGTAAGAGGAGAGCGATGGATTTTGACAATTTATTTCTTCATGGTCTCAGTGGTCACTTCTTGATGACAGGGGCTTTTTCAGGAAGCTCGAGGAACTCCACGTTTCGACGTGGTTATGAGTTTTGATGTTCTGACAGACTATATCCTCTCAGATGACGGTGATATATTGCTGGAAGATTTATCAGAACAGATTGTTATCGCAGTAGACAGTCTCGGAGTTGAGGGCGTCTCTTACCTTTTGAAATTCACGAGGGCACTTAGAATAAGTGACGAGGTTGCCGCTATCCGGGCCTCCAGATCTCTTCGACTACTATTAGATGGAAATGTGCAAGATGATGCTAAAAAACTCTTTCCAGAACCAACGCCTGCAATGCAACGATTTAATCGTCTGTTGAACCTTCTGGACCTGTCTGGAGACACTGACACGGCAAAGTTCATCCCAATATTCCGGAAGCTGGCACAGGAGCCAAAAGTACAAAGAGCCGCTGGTGAGGTAGTAGCAAAGTTAGGGGAAAGGGCCTTAAGTCGGTCGCTCCGATTTGTGTTCGGTCTTCCGCCGCCTAAGTTTGACGGCGACTGTAATGCTGCATCTACTGTTTTTGAAGAAAGCATGGTCAGGTATTAGTTAAGTTATCTTGTCCATGCCTCACTACAACGACTTTCGGCCTTTTTTCTTCTTCGTTTTGTTCGGCTTTTGTTTCTTTGTCGCTTTATCATTATCGGCTGCCTTCTGGAAATCCTCTTCGTCGAGTTGCTTTCGCTTTTCACGTACACTTTTGATCTGAATAGTACCAGACGCACTAATATCCTTCCCTTCGAGAGCTTTTGTCCACTGTTCATCAGATCCTTTAACGGCAAATTGCATTAACGACCGATCCTTCGTAACTTTCGAAGGGAGCTGCTGTGCACTATGAAACAAGTTATTGGCAAATATACGATAAAATTATCACAAGCACTTGATTATTTCACGTACCTTAAGGCGCCCAAGCTTTTCATCGCGTCACGTGCAGCTGCGGCCGTGTCTTCTTCCAGCGTCGATGAAGCTACATCACGCATGCCTTCAACTGCCTCCTGTGCCTTCATTCTTTCTTCACCGCTCAATAGAGCTTCCTTCTCCTTGTCTTCGACAATGTTGTTAAGTGCAATCGATATCTTCCGAATTGCTTTGTTGAACATTGCGAGCAGCTGGTTTGACGGTAGACCTAGTTCCTTTGTAAGCGAATCAACTTCGCGGTTCTGTAAGCCTATACCACATAGGATTGCAGCCTGGACACTTGACAGCTTGAAGTCGTTGCCAAATCTATTTGAAAAGTAAAGACGTGACGCGGTTGGAAGCAGATCTGTGATCAGATGGTGGTCGCATAGGTTTCGTCCATACAGCTCTAATCTCTTCAAGTCATGTGAAGTAAGCATGTAGTCGAGCTCTTCAGCTTTAATCTTGGTTGATCCGCCTTTGGCACAAGATTCAGCCATTTGTTCAAGTGATGAAATTGCTAGTCGAATTTCGACATCCCGGAATGGGCCACCAAGCAACGCTATAAATCGCCGTTGTGTGTCTTGCACAAAGGAGTCTAACCAAGTATTGTTGACTCTTGAAGTCTTCGAAAGCGCCCTCAGCATAATTGTGGAGTGCTCTCCTGTCAACTCGTTCTTCGTTTGACGGAGGTAGAGCATTTGCATACCTGCCCTCGTCCAGAACTTCTGCAAGGGTAGCGTAAGGCCAAACGAAGTTCCGACCCAATCAAGACGAGGAGCTTCAATCTCCGTCAAAGGAAGCAGTAGCGGTGGAAGCTCCTTTCGAGGAGCTAGCTTCTCGCTTTGAATACCAGTCTTGGTGCTTTTCGTTTGATCCTCCTCGACACTCTCTGCCTCTGTTTCGTCACCATCGTGCATTGAATCATCATCTTCACCGTCTTCACCCCCTTCGTTGGCCAGCGACACCATTTCACCGTTGTAAAAGCGTTGAAGCAGCTCAACTGCTCGCGACCCATATCCCATCGATTGCACGGAAGGGTGGACAGCGATCCGGACTATGCGAGCACCACTTAATTGCGCGAACTGGGCATCTCCAAACTGCTGTGAAATCGTCCATGGGATCAAGTCACCGGCAGAGCGATGTCCTCTCGCCAGCTGTGCCTCAACCGCCTTCCGCGAGATCTTTCCTTCTAGTGCTACTTGGACGACGGCCAAGATATCTGGAAGGGAATTGCTGTCCTTCTCTGCGGATGGAGACAGAAGCACAAAACAAGAGTGGGCTGGAGCATCAGAAAGCATTTGAAGATCGTTTGGTGTATTCTTGTAGTGGGCACTTGTATATAGCCCCATGAGCTTCTGCAAGAAAGCTTCAGAGAGCTTGTGATAGCTGAAGAGTGCATCTCTATCAACGCCATATAATTCGCAGTCTGCTGGCGCCGGTGCACCGCCATGTAGCCTCAGTTGCGAACTAGATCCACACTTGAGACACAAAAGGTTGTTCAACCACGCTTCCACCCCGTCTCCTTCTGAATATCGAATGGGGGTAGATAGGTCGATTTCTCGAAGAGGTCCCGAGAGTACATCTTCGTCCGCAGCTTCTGCAGCGGCCCTATAACGCTGCTCGTGAACCTTGGTTTCTCCTTTCTTTGCTCGCGATCCTGCTATATTTCTAGCCGCTTCACTCGCAGCATTCAACTCTGCAGCTCTTCCACCTTTTTGATCTCGCAGCTCCTTTATCAATTTCAAACTTAGAGATCGACCAGTTCCTTCATACCCATTAATGGTTGAACTCAAGAAAGTTAGCCGATTAGGTTGGTGCATAAGACCACGCACGATGGGGAGTGGGATAGCAGCAGCCTCGTCAATTGCCACGATTTCGGAAGATGCAAACTTGTCTTTTTCATGTGCTGGGATGTACTGAATTACCTGTCGATGACTTCGATGAATGTGAATAGCAGTAATGCACTTAATTGACTCTCGACCAGAAGCATTGCTGTAGGTTACGGAATAATCCATGTGCTCTTGATACTTGAGCGCAACAAGCCCCCGAACAAGAAAATCAAACACCGAAACCAAGTTCTCCGGTTCTGGTGCGGTTAAAGCCACAGTGGAATATCCAAGAGAAATTGCACCTGCAAGACACAGTCCAATAGCCGCAGATTTCCCTCTTCCTCTCGCAGCTGTCATTGTAACCGTTGAAGCTTTCGTGGTCTTTTCTGAGCATGCTTCCAAAAATACGACAAGGGCTTTCGCTTGGTCAAGAGTTTTTGCCAATTCCACCAGTGCACCAACGTGAGGTGTTTCGAGAAGAGATTCTTTCAACTCCTTCAACTCTGTGTCTTCTTCATTATCTCTCAGTATTACTTCTCCGGCATCTCCCTTGTCGATTTGACCGGGAGAAAGAGAATGCAATGTTCTTCGGGAAACCGGCAACACATTTAGTTCATCGTCGCAAACAAGGCAGTTTTGACATTTTGTTAAGGATAGAATGAACCGTTCATTGAACCTCGGAACGACGTCTACAGCAGATTCGGTTCTATAGCGCGCATGAACGTCCATCGTCATGGTGTAGAGTTGTTTGAGGGACTTCACACTTCGCATCAGGAAAACAACAAGGCCACCACCTTGCACTGTTTCGATGGTTCTTGCCATGAGATTGGGAGTCAATGCCTCAAAGTCTTGAAGAACCAGCATACCCACAGTTGATCCGAGAACGCGGTGGGAATCCTTGTAGTAACACCAGTTGATGTCAGTAGAACCGATGAAAAGCTCAAAATTGTCAGAAGAGTCGGATCCCGAAATTAACCCTCTAGCTTTGTCTCGTTTCAATTTCTTCATTCTCTTCTTTCTATGCGTAGAAAATCCAAGATCTTTCTTGTAGCACCAAAGAACATTTGGCCGACTCTGGACAGATGTCTTGCTTAGAATTTGATGAAGGTTTGGAACTTGATCTTTTCCATAGTCGCCCACCAAAACAAGGAGCGATCGCTCATTTTTCATGACTCCCCTCTCAATCAGTGTGCGTACACGCTCGTCTAGTTTCTTTCGGACCATCTGTGTATAGTCTCTCAACTCGGTATCTGAAATCAATTTGACGAAACGAAGATGACGGATGGAAAAAATGATGCATCCATTGCATGTAGGAAATCAATGGATGTGCACGCGAACCCTGCGCACGCGAAGTCAAATCAACAGCAGCACACACGAAACAAGTACGACGGCATAGCTTCTGCACAATGAAGGAAAACGGAGACGAGAATGGCAGAAAAGATATAGATGGTGCGCAAGAAGAAAGTAAGCGACGTGGAGTAAGGGGCCCTGACAATTATGTCGTCGATTCTATTGATTCACGCAGCAGGAAAGGCTTGTCCTCTTCTCCCAAATCTAACACCTCTCAACCCTCCGAACGAAAACACAGAGAGTCGCCTTCATTGCGATCACCGAGGAACAACCCATCTCGTCGATTGAGAGAAAGCCAGGAACGAAGACGTATGGATTACAGGCTAGGGCATGGTCGACAGAATTACACAATTCAGAGAGATGATTGGCGGAAGGAACCTCAGCGTTACAACAGCGGACGTCATGGAGAGCGTCGCCAAAGATATCGTTGCGAAACGGACCGTTATGGAAGAGATTTTCAAAGAAGAGATTATCGCTACCAGCGTGATGTTCGAGACCCTCACCGACTGCCTCACCGTGATCGAGAACGAAGATACTATTCTCCTTCTAATGGTTATCGAAGGAGCCCAATTGATCATCCCAGACGGAGTAATTCTGAGACGTCTGGTCGATTGGTTGACAAGCGTGATTCTCGTAGTCGGTCGAGACCGAGGTCTAGATCAAGGTCTAGATCAAGGTCTAGATCAAGGTCTAGATCAAGGTCTAATCATAGGGACAGCCGTCAAAATATGTCGCGAAGCACGTCGTTCTCGTCATCATCTGGTTCTGTCTCATCATCTTCTATTTCAAGCGATGAAGGCGAACTTCTGACTGGCTATGATGAATCAACTTTTTCGAAAGACCAGAGAACAGTGTTTGTCTCTCAGCTAGTGATGCGTGCAACAGAGAAAGATATTCGCCGCTACTTTCGCCGAAAGGTTGGGTGCATCGTAAGGGAAGTTATCCTCTTGAGAGACAAGAGAACCAAGATTCACAAAGGTGGTGCATATATCGAAATGGGAAGGATTGAAGACGTGAACAAGGCCGTGGCAGTTTCGGGGACAGCTCCTGATTTCCAAAGGTTTCCTTTACTCGTTAAGCTTTCCGAGGCCGAAAAGAATTATGTGGCGCCGGCCACAACAGGTATCCAAACAGCTTCTATGATAGTCGCTTCTTCGAGCAGTGCACCATCGCGAACAAGAGACGGCCGTGCATTCGAGGCGCAGAAGGTTGATGTTGGAGGCCTTGACGCCAGTGTTACTGAAGAGCACTTGTTCGCTCTGTTCTCGCAGTTCGGGCAGCTAGAAAAGGTGACGATGCAGATGGATCCTGGCAGTCAAAATCACAAAGGTTCTGCCTTTTTATCTTTCAGAGATCCAAAGGTTGCTAACCTTGCGATTCACACTATGGCAAATAAAGTAATCGCTGGTCATCCTGTGAGGACTGGATGGTCAAGCCAGCAATCATACTCGGTTGGAGTCGAAGTTGTAACGTCAGAAGAGTTCCCCGAAGACTCAGAAGCTCGGAGAGAAAGGGCGTTGGCAGTGCTGGAAAAGTTGACAGGCACTGTCAACAATAGAAGTTCGGGTCAATTATCTGATAGTCTTGTTCCAAACAGCGAAGCCAATGCCAAACAAGTTGTTACATTATTACCAGGCTCATCAATTGGCGGTGTAAAGGGTTCTATAGGTCCCAACATCCTTGTACACAACATGTTTGACAAAGATTCCGAGACCGAAAAAGGCTGGGCAGAGGAACTGAGGGACGAATTCTTGGAAGAGTGCTCCACGTTTGGCAAGATATTGGCCATCACTGTCATGTCCAAGGAATCTGGCGGTAAAATCTTTGCTAGCTTTGACTCTGTTGAGTCTGCAAAGCAATGCGCACAGAATCTGTCAGGGAGATGGTTCGATAAACGGCAATTGCGAGTGGAGTATGTGGATTCATCTCGTCTACCTGACAAGCACCTCAATCAGTAGGTATAACTTCAACTACATACTCTCAGGCACACGACGTTTGGTCTCTTCGAATAGTGAAGTGCATAGCAATCTAGGGTGAACTTGTGCTATTGTTTGCTCGTCACCGAGAAGTTGGGTCGCGGTGATCGATTTTGATTGGGCCCATTCAATACCGTTTAGCTTCTTCCCCCTTGGCTTCTCAAGACCTTCAGCTGCATTGGTGATTGCTGCGCAGGTCAGTCTGCGATATTGAATAGACTCGGCTCCCAACGAATCAGCAATCTCTTGATGCAGATCAAAACTTCTCCTTGCTAATGGTCCCACAGGCGGGAAGTCATTCCAATCTCGAGCGAGAAAGCCCCCGGCTTTTCCACTTGCAGTGGGTGCCCGTTCTCCCGAAGGATCTACTAATATTGATGAGATACCAAAATCTCTTGTCAGACATTGGTTCCAGAACCCGCCCTCGCTTTGTGTCCCCCCCCCCTCCCCATTTGTTTGAGAACTTGGCGCAGTATCGCACAGTACTGTACCGGTAGCTACGTGGTATCGTAGGCAGGGTGGATTTTTCAGTCGGTTAAAAAAATTGTTGTTTCAAAATTTATTTAATTATTGTTGCACATCTTGAATGTGCCGTTGAACAGGAATTTGTGCCGGATGGAACCACCAAATTTTTCCAATTAGGGAAAGCATGCCAATCGGATCTGTCCTGCATAACCCTTATTATTTAAAAACAACTATTGGGGGATGGCTGCTAACCCCTATTTTTAAAAATCGACTATTGGGGATTACAAATAACCCCTGTTTTTTAAAAACAGGGGATAAGGGGCAACCCTTAACACCTATTTATAAAAAACAACTAGTGAGGGATAATAACGACCCTTAACCCCTATTTTTTGAAAACAACCAACGACTTCAGGTGAAATGCTTGACTGTTTTGTGCATGGAAAAGATTAACTACTACTCTTACTCTTACTACTACGACTACTAGTACTACTACTTTTCTTGTCTTTTCTTGGCTTTCCAAAGAAATTGCAATACCCTGTATCTGTTACACACCGGTCATAACCCATGCAGGCGCGGAGATGATCTCTCACAGCTACATAGATTTTATGACGCTTCAGTGCATCTGATGGCTTTGATTGCTCCCAATCAACAAAGGGAGACCTTGGAGAAGGGGTGAATTCCAGTTGAACATGCAGATTGTTTGACATTTTGTCCAGTGATGGAATTCTCTTTGCATGCTTACAGACTGGACAAGAGAAAACTCGGACAAGGTTTGTGGGGTCTTCCTTGCATTGGAGGTATCTTTTGGAGGGTGAAATGTTGAAGTCCACCACCCAGGTCCCAAAACTTTCGGGGGTGTTCACAGACTGAGCTTTTCGACCACACTTATTTGCTGTAGCAACAACGTCTACTGCTTTTCTTTTTGCATGAGTTGAGGGATTTGAGTTGTTTGGAGCATTGTTTGGCACAAAACGGAGTTTTGCTAAATCTGCAATCATTGCTTGGATTTCATGTTGAGCTCCGATTTTTTTCCGCAAATCCTTCATGTTCCTAGCCACAGCACAAATGGTGGATTGATGTTTCTTTAAAACCTCCAGCTCTTTTCTGGGTACAGGAAAGCAGTTTGGTTCCTGCAAGTGGTGGTGGTGGATGAACCAAATAGTACTGAAGGCGCCAAACCAATTTTCCATCTGAAATGGAATCACAAGGCCTCCGTATTTGGGCATCTCTGCTTTCCGTTGTTGCATTTTGTACAACGAACCATTGCGCATGAGCCTGATGAAAGTCTCGAGGTCACGGCGGCCAGGAAATGCTGATCCTGCCTTGTCAACATGACCGTCTCTATCCAGCAATGGATTGTTGTAAATTTTGTTGCATTGTGGTCCCAAGTCAATGGAAAGATTGACACGGGTCGACTGCTCTAACAGGAGACCCTGAAGGACCTCAACGATGGCCCAGAAGGAAGAGAAACGATCAAGGAGCTTCTGATATGTTTGCATCGATGGGCTTAGCCTTTGGCTGAGCTTCTCTTGGAACGACTCGGCAAGAGACAGGTGACAGAGAATCAAGGTTGAAGTCGTTTTCCGTCTCAGGGCCATTGACTCTTCCAACAGGGGATCATGGTCCGCCATCGTCATTTCAGTAGCATTCTTTGGTTGTCTTTGGTGTGGTTGAAGATGCCGTTGGATTTCAATTTAATTCTGGCGGTGCCGGCGGTGCAATTGTACGGGGTTCGTCGGTAGGCCACGTTGGATGCGCGGAAGATGTACCGGCTTTGACTGACTGACTCAGAAGCGCTACCATCGTCAGCCGGTCATCGTGGGTGGGAGGGGGGCCAGACGTGATGTGCAAGGGCGCGGGGAATAACGCGCAGTCGAGATGACGTACGAGGCACAGACATGCAGGGACGGAGAGTTTTTGTCACGGCCGAGCCCCGCCGATCTGACTTACAGTCCAAACCAAAATTCTCAAACACGCAGAACAGGTCTAAGAAAGTACTTTGGCAAACATCGTGCAATTTCGTGGGTTTTGTACCAATCCACCAGAACAACAAATCGTCATTTTCATCATCAACCTTCCGACCCCTTGTTGGTATCAACAAAACATCGGGCATCTCCACTTTTTTGCACAATTCGCTTCTAAACACATTGAAATGGCATAATATCAAAAAAAGTGGAGATGCGAGATGAGTCCTAGTGGTGAAATGGTAGCTGCTTTGGAAGCAGTCCGGAAAATGCATCAAGCATACCAAGACAAGTGGATGACTCGTGAGAATTGGGTAAAGTTGATGAATCATCATGGCCTACTGCCTTCTAAGGTTAAGAATCCAACAAGGGCTCTGAGTTATGGGATAAGGAACTTTTATAAGAAATGTGGTGTGTCGCCAAGAGACTGGATCCCAAACCACCTTGGATTCTATGGCGCTACCTATGGTGATTCACAAATAGCATATTGTTCCATGCCAGCAAACAAGTTGCTGGATGAATGATGAAGAGAAACGGGCAAGCAAAGAAGATTGTGCCGAATCCACAAATGAACAGCCAATGTTCCGCTATCATTTTAAGAAAGGAGAGCTTGCTGAAAAGTTGCAGGCGCTAGGCAAGGCCATCAATGGCAACAAAGCAGACCTTCAAAAGCGATGCACCGACAACGGGATTGCAATCTCGGAAATGCGTATGAAGATCAAACAAGGATGGGAGAATAAGCCGAAAGGAATGTTGCAGGTCTTGTGGGAGCGTGGGTTCATCGATACAGCTGTGCCAAAGTCTGAACTTTGGAAGAAATATCCAGAAAAGGGTCAGAAAGACAACTTGGGGCTTGTAATGCCAGGAACTGCGTTGAAAGAGATGGTCGCCGACTTACCTGATTTTCAAGATGAAAAGACACTACTACAATATCATGCTGAAGGCAGGAGTACGGCTGGTTGTCAAATAATGTTCATCAGAAGTCCAAAGTGTCATCCTGAAATTGCTGGCGAAGGCATTGAGTATGATTGGGCTGGAATCAAGTCGTATTATCGTCGTTCGGACCTAGCATCCAAGAAAACTCTGGAAGCATTCAAAGCCTTGGTGAAAGAGAGCATGGAGTCTGTCCAGTTCAATCATCGAGCGTCGTTCTCTGCAAGGGCCAGGGAGTACATGCTGGCTTATGATGTCTTGGAGGAGTGGAACAACTTGCCCGAGGAGTTGAAGAATGGGGACCCAGAGAAGGAAAAGTTGCCAAAGACTTCGGCGCAGTTTTTGGACAGGATTGTGAATTGTAGGTGGAAGAGACATCGCGATGTCGGAGCGGATGAGGGGTGGGTGAATCTGATTATGAATGCGATGAAGAAACGAGAAGTAATTGTAATAGACTGAATGGTTGATATGAGCCTCACAAGAAACAATTTTTGGTTTCGCAAAAATACTAAACATTTCGCAGTACAAGTGTTTTACGTACGTACTGCGACATCCGCAATGTCCAAAATCGATTTTGTACCATGCAACGCATTTTCTACGAAATGCAGTCTGATCTTGGTTTGGACTGTACAGTAGCTTTCAATCTTTTCAAAACAGTTTTGGTGAAAGCTGAGGAAGCGAAAAGATAACCAGACACAGAGCAGGAAGTCTCATGGTTTATTCCAGAAAAAAGATTCTTCGCAACCCTTATCGATTTGTAAAGAAGAAAAAACAAGCTCAAAGGCCTTACAACGCACTACAAGGGGAAAATATTGCTGCTCCAAACTCCATCCGCACAGAGAGAAAGAGCCCCCCAACACTTGTTGACGTTTCTATCAAGGCGGCAAACGTATTGAGATCAGTACAACCGAATGATGATGCACGAGAGCCTGGAGTGTTTGGCTCAAATTCCATGTATTGGCAAAGGCTGCCGTCTCAGAGTTTATCATTTGAATCCGCAGAAATTCTTACGGTGCAAGAGTGCACAACCAATGCAGCAATGTACCGAAACAAAGCAGTTCGGACCACGGGACTCTTCGTTCAACGATCCCTCGAAAACGAAGGAAGTGTGCTCCTGAAATTACGTCATCCAGTCGAAGCAAAATACCTTAAAGCAAATATCACGGGATCTGGAAGGCTTCTAGTGCGATCAAAAGCCATCATCTCGGAACCCAGAGTGTCCATGCAACCAGACATTGTTCGTAAACGAAAAGATCCTTGGATTGGAGGGAAGTTATCGTCGAAGGGATCCTCGATTCTACAACCCAATAGACCAGTTCTGCTTGAAGTAGATGTGGACCCTGCTGTGCCTGGCCTTGGAGACCTTGTGGCTGGGTCAAGTATGGTCATGGTCATTGGTACCTTGCTAGAAGATGGAAGACTACTTTCTAGAGTTATCAAGAGACTGGAACACTTCGACCCGGCAAGGCATGACATGTGCCTCAACGCAAGAAGGCAGATGATCTATAAGAAACAACATCGTAATGCGAGTCAAACTTCCCATCAGCTTAAAGGCAAGCAAAGTTCCCCGATTCATGGCTGTGGTCCTCCGCCATATGATTCATTCATTTGATACAAAAATAGAGTTCGAACCCTGTATAATTTGGCAATTTCATGTGACACAACACCAAGGGAGGACGAAACGAGCTGCTGGATAGTAGCTGAGAAGGAAAATAGCAATGGTCTTCAGATTGAAGACGATCGAATCTCATCGACGAATCCTTGGATGAACTCTTTGGGACCTATTCGAGATGGCATCTCCTAGAAATGTTCCATCTACGAGTGTTTGTCGAATAAGAACGATGGCTCATATGTTCCAAAGGAAACTAAAATATGATTCGAACTGAAGCATCCGAAAATCAATGGAGGTGCTTTCACAGCTCATGGAAGGGCTTCAAAAGCAAAGCTTCAAGTGGGGATGAATCAGTGCATCCAGTAGTCAGTTTCGGGGTTGTCGAAATTTCAGAAAATTGATGGAAACCGAAACTGCCTACAATTATGAGTAGAGTCGAAACTGTATATAGCAAGAATTATGTTACATTGACTACTTATAGACAACTTCAACAGTGATGGTGGGATATCGAGATCCATCCTACAATTAGGATAACTCGGATTACTTTAAGCGAGATGGAGTCAAGTTCGTCATCTGTTTTCTATTAGACTCCTCACTGTTTCCACTCCTAGCAAGCACGCAGCATTGGCGGGGAAAGCCCTCAACAAAGCAGGAGACAAACCACGAAATAGCGCAGAAGGTCCTTCTTCGCGGAGCAATGTTTGCAAGACATCCAATACACTCTTGTACTTTCCTGCAGGGGCAGTTTGCCATCTCGATTTCACTGTATCAAATGGAATTGCGACGATCCAGTTTCCAACACCTGCACATCCACCCGCAAGAAGGGTACCCATAATTGATGCTTTTTCTCGTCCTTCCAAATCGCATGACAGTTTCTTCACATACTCGTAGCTTCCAAAGTAAGCAGCATTGCCAGGAACATCTCGCAATGCGGTGCTGAAAGTACCCTTAGTGACAGACCGCATACCACCTTCTTTGTACACCTTTCTTGCACAATCAAAAAAGCCGTTGTACTTTCCCTTCTCAACTTGCATCAAGCACTTGATGCGCTCTGTAGGTCCGAGTATCAAGGCAAGTGGAATTCCAGAGAAACCACCAGCTAGAGTGGCATGCTTCAAACTAAGTTCATCGCTTCGTGCTATGCGATTGTAGTCCCGAATCGACTTTCCGGCAAAATCAAAACTCCAAAAGCTGACTGCAAAACCAGGAGTAACAGCAAGCAAGGGGGCCTGCACCCCACAATATAAACCGTGGATTCCCTCTTTCAAAAAAATAGAGCGTAACATCCCAAACGTAGAGTTACCGCCGAACGACCGAGTGGCAGCAAGGGCTGTAGCTGCACTATCGGCAGGAGCCTTGAATGCTCCAGTACCAACTTGCTGGCGGACTTTGACCAAATCAATAGGATGGCCTACAAAAACACTGCAAAAACCACCAACGGCTCCCGGGGCAAATCCGAGGAGGGACGCTAGAATCGAAACTGCACACACAACACAATTCAAATAGGTAAGTTGAATCTTCCGAAAGACAGAACTTGAAAAAGTAAAGCATGGGGAGCTCACCGTCTGTCATTTAATCTGAGGTGGACACAAATAGGCTGTGGTGTAGGTTATGGCTCGATGGTTTCTTTACTGTAAGAATATTTGTCAGGCGATGATTCTAACCACGGTGCAAGTTCAGCAGAAAAATGAACTTCTAGTGTGAAATTTCGGTTCGAGGTCGTTTGTTGGCGCTCTGCAAAAGTTCCAAGTTCTCGAGACCTCTTCGAACTGAACGAATGATGGAATGAACGAAGAATGAATGAATGAATCTATCGTGCCAGGTACCTGGTACCGGTACCACGAGTACGGTACGGCGCTGGTGGGATTTTTAGTCCAACGAAAGCTACTACTAGTCGAATCAATCACTAAAAATCAACCCATTTTTAGTGGTCTGAGCCAATCACAGCGGGCTATTCACTAAAAATAGACTATCTCCACTAAATTAGTACTGTCCCAACGCATTGAAATGGTGATTAGGGACGGTAGGTCAAGGCTACCACGGCCCGACTAGCAGTATGCCTCTGCCTTTATAAGCACTGTTGCATGCACTTTGTCTTAACGACCAACCTTCTCATTGGATAATGAGAATCCGCTACAGCTCCTCTAGGATGACTTCTAGCTGCACTGAAGAATGGGCGGGGCAGTATAGTAGTAAATGGTGGTGGAAAGGCAAACGGAAATTGGTGACTAGCACTACAAGCGGTGATGGATACTTCCAACGTCAGAAAAAAAATTTCAACCTTCTAGTTAGAGCATGTATTGACTAGTATCGTTTAGTCGTCCCTTATGGCAGCAGGATGCTCCTGAATTTAAATGCTATGATAGCTACTAGTAGGCAGTTTCTTCACCTTCACAATCAAGTCATTGTCTTAATTAGGTGGTGCACCAAGTCTCCTTGTTGATTGTTTTCTCGTCAGAACCAAATATGCGACACTAGAATCTGAACACATCCTCTATCATCATGCGTTAGTAGACTGTGTTGGCGCGACCTTGACACTTGGCCATCAAGTAGGAGCCCAAAAAGGGTATTGTCTAGGCTTTCTCCTTGAACTTTAACTCAAGACCTGTTTATTGTTGGATTCCCTCAATCGTTCTATACCTTTGTAGTCTCTTTTGGATGGCATCGAGCTTTCTTCATTGGCCCTTCTTCATCTTTCTTGGTCCTCAAAATATTGAATTAGCCCATCATAAGTATGGGATCATCTGCGGATCGAATCCAATACTGCCTCTTTGTCGCAAGCCTTGCATAAGTTAAGTTTTCATCGAAAGCATAAGGATGATGCCAGCTGGCGGCGTTGCGTTTTCGTTCATGCCCTGATTCACCTTACTTTCAAATGGTTTGTTGTCGACTCAAAATCAGGCTTCGTTGTTAGAATGAAGCAAAATGTGCTCTATCGTGAGTGCTTTTAGCGCTCAGAACAAACTCTCTGCAATCTAAATTCGTAATCGACTGTACAACACTTTCACGACAATAGTTCTCCTGTGTCTAGGTATACTTTGAGTGAAATTGTTCCTATTTGATTAATGTTTGGCTTGAATTGATGATTCATTCTCTTGCCTAAAAAAAAAAAGAATATGTCAGGATTTCTTTTTTTGTATGGCGGTGCAACTTATGCGCCCCCTGCGCACCCTCCGGTGGACTCTGACAAGACCTGGGGTGGGCCCACCGTGCACCTCTCCCATACCTCACGAAAACCAATAAAAGACCCCGATCCACGAAATACCCACCCAAAATTCGGGTGGAATTTGGAATTCTGGGGACAAAGCAAAAATTTCAAAAAGCACCTACGGACCTAAAACCTTTTCAAAGCGCTAGAGAATACTTTGCCCATCCCTTGTAAATTCAAGTTCTTAGGAGGTGTTAGAGGGGCTCCAGTGCAGAAAAAAACTTTCTGCTAACGGCTAAAAAACAGCCGTTAGTCAATTTGACTCAATTGACTTGACATTGACTGGTGGGATTGCCAAAAAAAAACTCAAGAGGCTGGAGGCAGATCTCGTACCATACGACCTTGTTGCGATTACATTCTTAGATAAATTTCAATGCGATATTATGAGTATATATATTTCCTAGGACTGGGTACACTCTGAATTAGAGATCTTTGTGTATATCGATCATATTTCAGGCCATTCCACAAAGTCAATTGAAAAGTAGGAAAGAGAGAAAAAAATTATGCTAGCCTAGATTCTTTTTTCCGCCATAGCCCTCCAAACCACCGCCCAAATTCGATTACTATATATATTTTGACCAAC